ATATACTTTTTTATAAATAAAAATAAATAAACAAATAAATAAATAAATATATATATATATTGAAATTCTCACTTTATTAATAAGGGTTATATGCGAAAGAAGCTACAAGCGTAGCTAAGGCGTTTCAAGGTACTTAAAAAAAAAACTGGTATTGAGACACTTTGATATAGCGACTGTCGATGGGGATCTTTATGACGAATGGTTGTCAAATAGGCTCTATAATTGATATTACTAAGAGGTAATGATACGGTTTGATTATGCTGTTGAATGAATCTTTATATCGCGGTTGAAATTAACAACTTAAATTACGTTTAATATATTTTTGTGACCGCCATCTTTATCTTGAACTCTTTGATATTTCACTAATCCTTTATCGAGGCATCCTTTTTACCCAATTTGATTGCCTGTAGAATTTTTCTCAACTTGCTCATGTTGAAGCGACCTGGACTAGCTTTTCTTGTACAGTTTTCCCTTTCAAAGTAGTTATGATAATTTGCATCGTAGGCCGTATCCTCTTGATCTTCATTCCTACGGTAAGTTAGCTGTTTTTTCACGTAGCTGTTGGGTGATTTTGCTATACTCGGTGAACGTTAGGAAAACAATGCACAGTAGCCTAAAATGATAACATGAGTGAAGAATGCTTTTATGCAACGGATATCCAAGGTAAATCATTCAAAGAAGCATACGAACCATGAAAAGCCGATGGCATGGTGGGAATTGTGAAAGAAAGTTAAGGATTAAGAAAGGCTCAAAAGTGGATATGCCTACCTCATTTTGGTCTAACTCAGAAACGACGACCAATATTAAAAAATGGAATATTCAGCTGATCACAAAAGTACAACTCTTTTTACAAGCTTACCAAATCAACATGGGAAGATGACAAGGCAGAATTAGTAATAAATTTGCTCGTAGTTAAACAAACTTAGAGCAAACAGTAATATAGCAAGTTCGGAAAAAAGAAAACGTCTAGCTCAAGAATATGTAATTAACCAAAGGTGAATAAAATTTGAAATAAAAATGAAGACGCTTTCGGCTAGTGTATTTGACTCGATGAAATATCTACAACTTTTGGGGGTTTAGTACAAAAGAGAATAGGGACACATTATCACAACCCTCTTATGAAGTTTTCATGATGTTTGATAGATCGAGGATAATTCGGCTAGAGATTCATTCGAAATACAACGGATACCAGAGATATATGTCCTTGATTAGTTCATGTTCTACCATGGAGCAAGGTAAGCCAACATGAGTGATAACGCCCAGATAAGCTCGCTGAAATTGGCACACCTCTAGGGTAGTCAAATATAAACAAGACAGAAGTTGTGATAAATGGGAAGTGAAATATAAAGATAGGGGGTAGTTAGATGTACCAGGATAAGAGTGATAGCATAACCATTCAGCAGAAAGTTGGTCATTTGCATCTGATGCGTTTTAGCTTGGTTCTTTGACTGACAAGACCTACTGACCATACCGTCGAAACATCTGGCAATCTACCAAGTCCAAGGTCCAAGGCTAGAAATTATCATGACTGTTATAGCAAAAGATTTCGAACAAGGTGCATTTGTCTAGGTCGCCCTGACAACTCGACTTTTGCGAAAACGAAGTCAAAGCACTTTTATACAGGGAAATGGAGACTGACTAGAATAGACGTTATCGTATTGGTATTCATATCTCCGAGTCTGATTTATATTTCGAAGGCGGCTGTCTGATGTCAAATATGCTTCAAATAATCCTTAGCTTTCGTGAAAGTCAAAATAAGAACCATTTTAACCCAAATATATACAGTGGATGGTTCAGTGACATGAAATTGATAAGGGATTCTTTAAATAATAGCTCTTCTTTATTAACTGTTTGCATCTCCTAATGATAAATATATTATTTGACTATTGGCATAGCCTTGTGATCATTGCCACTTATTTGGCGTTAAAGCTTGTCACAAATGGAAATTATGTTTTGTAAAAAAAAATTTAATTTAAAATGTTGACATTTGTAGAAATTGCGATTGACAGACAATGTATGAGGTGTATAAAGGCTGAGGTGAAGCCACGAAATGCACTTTTATGATTTTATTTCTTTGTTTTTGCGAGTTATTCTAAGGTTGAACGTCAATATTGTATAACCAACTTATGCCTTTGTTATATGGTAAAAAGCTAGGTTTCGAAGAACCGCATAATAATTTGATGAAACGGACCTTTTATTAAGTATTACAAGTTGGGAATAAGGGATTTTTAAATTGATTGCGCTGGAAACCTCATTAAGATTTTCGCAACTTGGTCATGATGGTAGGAAGACTGATAGAAACGCACATTGTCCTGAGTCCATTGTATGCATGATTATTTCCAGTCGGACCGTGTACGTGGTACATTCCCAGACGTTTCGCCGGCATCGTAGTCGGCATCGTCAGTGAGTTT